GGCAAGAAGGAAACACGTGACATATATTTTCGGAATTGAACTCCGGATCTACTGATGTGAAGCAACAGTTATATTCACCTCGACTTTATTTCAGCTCTCTCTGTGGTGTTACTGAATTATGGAAAGTTGCAATATAATAACGAGGTAAAATGGGAGCTGTCGTAAACCCCGTATTGCCTTAGAAAGAGAAAAGTAATGAGATCATCATGACGTAGGAGCGCATATGTTGTCTGTGTCCCCTGTTTCAACTTTTGACCCACCTGACAGATTTTCGCGAAACATGGTATGAACGTTATGTCACTGGGACCTACCCCAAAGTCATTCTTTTTTATTTCCTACAACCATTAATATCGTAAGGGGAGCGACACTCAGTTTATGCTCAAAAACTGATATATGCTAATTGAAATCTGCCGAAAGCTATGCTGCATTTATACAAAGTTATCCACGCAAACATTTATTTTGCTTATTCACTCGTTCATGTAGCTGGCCCTTCTTGAGAAGCTGCGAATTTTGCAGCTACTCAAGAACTTCCCAGCACTTTATGAAACCCTCGGGTTCATTACAGTGTTCACAAGATCCCTCCAGCAGTTTCTATCCTGAGACAGATCAATCCAATCCATACCATCCCAACCTATCGCTCTAGGATCCATTTTAATATTACTCACCCACCTACGCCTTGGTCTTCCCAGTGGTCTCCTTCCTTTCGACTTTCCCACCCGTGTCCTATATGCATATCTTCTCTCTCCCATTCGTGCTGCATGCCCTGCCCACCTCGTCCTCCTTGACTTGATCAATCTAATTATACTTGGAGAAGAGTACAAGTTATGAAGTTCCTCATTATGCAGTTTTCTCCAACCTCCTGTCACTTCATCTCTCTTCGGTCCAAATATTCTCCTAAACACCCTCAGTCAATGTTCCTCCCTTAATGTCAGAGACCAACTTTCACACTCATACAGAACCACGGGCAATATTATAGTTTTGTATATTCTAAATGTTTATGTTTTTGACAGCAGACGAGAAGACAACAAGTGATAACGATTGATAATGAACTATTTGTTCCAGGCATGTGACATTTTGTGCGGTGATAATTCATAAACATACCTACACACTATATATGAAATATTGTTTATGAGTCTGGAATTACGAACACGGACATAATAACAGTATTTGTAATGTATGGGATAGGAGAGTAAGCTTATTCAAGTCTGCTCGGATATCTTTGTCTTAGAAAAAATAATCCTTTTTATACTATCCTCAAAATTTCGACAACCTTTCAGCCTTGTGGTTTGATCGAAGAGGATAATACTTTTATTATACCATTTCGCATTTTACTGGAGGTTACTTTCTAAAACCCAAATCGCGTACAGTCAGAACTACCCTTGACAATCCCAGAAATCGAACATAAAAGTCATGCTTTTCCTGTAATATGCGTGTATTCAAGGTATACAAGTGCAACAAATGGAACACATGTACAACTTTATTAACAATAAATACAAAACTTTTTGAGTTTCTCAATCCAACAATGTAACCAGTTTATTTCTATCTTCGTTATTTTCCGAATTATTAAAGATCAAAATATGGCAGACCTTTTGTAGACACTGTATAATATAGAGTGTATATACAAGTAAATCTGGACCGCCTCTGTGCTCTAGTGGTCAGAGTTCCTGTCTACAGATCCAGATGTTCCGGGTTTGTTTCTAGGCACTACCAAATTTTCTGAGAAGTAGTGGGTCTGGAACGGGGTCCACTCAGCCTCGTGAGGATAATTGAGGTGCTATTTCATGGTAATAGCGGCTCCGGTCTAGAAAACCGAAATTAATGTCCGTGGGGATCCGTTGCACTGACCACGTGACACTCTCTATCAGCAAAAGTTGGCACTAACTTCGCCGACAAGCGGCGGTCGCTCGGTCTGTATAGTTCGCTTGTGGACTAAAACCGCGGAGTTTTTTTTTGTTTATACAGTAATTTAATTTTCACTTACGTAAAAATAAAGAGAGACATGATGCAAGAATAAAAAAGGGAGAACAGTAACCTGGGTCAGAGTTTGGTTTCGATCCAGGAGACCCAGAGACAGGCTTTGGTGACGGAGAGCGAGTCCTAGACGAATCTCTCGCGCTCCTTTGTTTTATTTCATTTTGACCAGCACGTATGTTTGAATTCGCGTAAGTTAATTGCGCATATGCTGCGACTGCACTGCAGTACAGGTTGGAAACGTTTTATACGAGGGCATAAATCAGTGCATAACGAGGGATCTGGCTCGTTCCTGTTGCATGTTACCGCAGTGACCCCCCTGAGTTTCACAACGTCAGGAAATTTCTTGAACAGTTGAACACACACGCTCCACAAAAAGCTGCAAAAGGAAGTCAGTTGCTTCATTATTTTTTAGATTTTTGTGGGCAGTTAGCAACCATTTCGAATTAGCTGAAATAAATAAATTACATAGTTTTCTGAGGGTGTTTGAGAACAGGGTGTTGAGGAGAATATCTGGACTGAAGAGAGCTGAAGTGACTGGAGGTTCGAGAAGACTGCATAATGAGGAGCTTCATAACTGTTACTCTTCTCCAAATGTCATTAGAATAATCAAATAAAGGAGGATGAGATGGGTGGGGAATGTAGCACGAATAGGTGAGAGGGGAATGCATATAGGATATTGGTGGGAAAGTCTGAAGGAAAGAGACCACTTTGAAGACCAAGGCGTAGGTGGGTGGACAATATTAGAATGGATCTCAGAAGATAGGATGGGATGGTATGGATTGGATCAACCTGGCTGAGGATAGGGATCGCTGGAGGGCTCTTGTGAACACGGTAATGAACCTTCGGGTTCAATAAAATGCTGGGAAGTTCTTGAGTAGCTGCACAATTGGCGGCTTCTCAAGAAGGGCTCAGCTTCATAAGTGAGTAAGTGATTTAATAAATAATAATTAATAAATCCTCTAGCTTCTAGGCAGGCAGTTAGGTTTTAGCTGCCCCAGACATTCCCTCCTTTTGTGGATCTCAGAGGCACAGTACCCCGTACACAAGAATATTTATTAGTAACACTAAAACACTACTTGCCGGTCACGGTAGCCGAGCGGTCTAAGGCATGCACTGTCTTCGCTCAATCAGAAGCCGGGTTCGTGGGTTCGAATCCCACTCAGGGCATGGATGTTTAATTTGTGTGTGTGCGTTTTTCTGTGTTTATGTACAGGTAGAGGCCTTGCGACGAGCTGATCACCCGCCCAAGGAATCCTACCGTATGTCTAAGATGTAGGCCTAGGCCCAAATGAGGGCTGTAGCGCCAATGAAAAGAAACACTACTTATTAGTGCTGAGTCATGAGGCCGGAGAGAAAGGGCTGTGGAGTACCAGCACTTCACGTGGAAGAGAAAGGAGTTTGAAACTTCGGGGTGGACAGCAAAACCCGGTCGTTATTAGAACCAGGTGCCGATAAGTAGGCAGAGACGGTGATGTGAGGTTTCCGGTATGACGTGCAAGTGCATTTGCATTGCACCTTTGAGAAACACGTGTTCTTAGTCACGTTCTTAAGGACGCTGCGATCTAGATTGCCGTCTTTCGAATCTCAGCAGGGGCGATATGACTTCATCTTAACTTCCACGTTCAGAATGACATTCGTGTTATCCTCTGTCCAGTGGCCGCGCCATAGCTCAAGCGGTTAGTCGCTGGCTTCCCACCGCTTCGGTCCGGGTTCGATCCCGTGTCTGGTAAAGTGGGATTTGTGGTGGACAAAGTGGCGCTGGGGTAGGTTTTCTTAGAGTACTTCGGTTTCCCCTGCCAATCTTCATTCCACCAATTTCTCTACAATCACCCTGACCTATCATCTGGGGCTGGTACAATAGGCCAGAAGTGGCCGCAGTACAAGGGGCTTAGTCCCACCCTACTAACATTAAAAAAGAAAACAATATCCCCTGTTCTATTCACTATGTTCCGAAGAATGATCTTGGGTTGTTAAATGTTTTGGAGCGAGAAACTTAACAGCTGCCGAACTTAATAACGTAGGCCTGCAGCGTATTACCTCCACTGTTGCTACAGGCTTCCATGACTTGCTGCTAAACATGGGAACCATATAATATTTCTACCACAAACTCCGTAACCTGTCGTCCGCAAGCAAACTATACCGACCGAGCGACCGCCGCTTGTCGACGAAGTTAATGTCAACTTTTGCGGTTAGAGGGTGTCGCGTGGTCAGCTCAACGGATCCCCACGACTGGTAATCTCGGTTTCCTAGACCGGAGCCGCTACTTCCTTGAAATAGCTCCTCAGTTATCCTCACGAGGCTGAGTTGACCCCGTTCCAGACTCACTACTTCTCAGAAAATCTGGTAGCGCCGGTAATCGAACACGGTACCTCTAGATCTGTAGGCAGATCTGACCACTAAACCACAGATGCGGTCAATATTTCTACCACACTTCACTTAAAATTTCTTTTAGAAGACACACCCCATCTCCGTTAAAAAGAGCAATCTGTTATTAAAGGTAAAGTTATCCGTGTGCTTAAGCCATTAAGCACTACTCCATGAAGACGTATTGTGGAGTGGATGTCTAGATCAGCGGTTTTTTGAACTCCGCACTAGTTGGAGGTCAGTGGTCATCTTCACGCCTCGGCTGCTTTACCCCCGCGAAAAGAGCCCGCGGTACCCATTGGAGAGGAGGCTAGGTGGGCCTCAGAATCGGTCTGGACGACATGGAGATGAGGTTTGTCCTCACCGGGACTCGAACTCCTACCCCTCAGTCGTCCAGCCCATACTGATTGTGCTGTTCCGACTCCCACCAGTATGTTAAAACCATTATGAAAGTAATTACGGTTTATAAGGCAGATTATACGGAAACCGCACGTACACCTTGTGGGCGAAATCCAGTTATTAAATGTTGAAGAAGGTGGTATATACGTGTGTAATAACCGGCGTGTTAAGAGGTTAACATTCATAGTTTATTCCTGTATGTTGTTAGTACATGTGTTAGCGATGCCAGCTGAATGCTGTAATGTGTTAATTTTTCATTGCAGTTGCTTTTCGTGTGGATTAATCAGTCGGTATGGATGCCGGTGTACCTACAACACCATCATCCGATAATGGACCAAGAAAATTCTTCGTTGCAGGCGTCGAAGTGGAGTTTCCGATTAAACCGTACAAATGCCAGATATCCACAATGAACATGGTGAGGACATCTATTGGCGCTGGCGCGAACTACTTGAATGTCTAAGTGCAAGAGTGATCTTACGGAATTTTGTTATGGCTTTTCCGGTTGTTAGTGACAAAAAGATCAGTAGCAGATCTAATATGTCATAATATACACTGAGACTTTTCTGTGTAACTGGTTAAACTTGACATAATAACATTCTTAATAGGTTTCTTTCACTACTATGACAGTTCTTCCTTATTGCAGACAAAGAATGAATAAGTTAACAATCAAGTTCCTTCTGTCAAATGTGACACTTTTTTAAGTTTTCCACCTCGTCACCACCTGCCTTACATGTTTCGGCTCACCACGGAGCCATCATCAGAGGCATTTATAGTAGAAAAAGAAATCACCAACACACAAAACTTCACTTTGTCCAAGATAGCCACGTTCCAGTTAATTAAAATAATTACAAATAGTTAAAATTACCCAGAGTGTCG